TGATGTAAATAATCTAACAAAGGAATGGGCCTCCCTCTGAAATCATCCCTGAGGATATTTATGCAGAATAGGTGTAGATATTCCATCAGGGACAATAATCCAAAAAAAAAAATTGCATAGAAAACTAAAATCTTTGAGGTCTTTGGTGCTTAGAACTATAAAATTCTAAGGGCCTGTGTGAGGGAAAAAAAAAATCAAGCATAAGAGTGGTGGCTGAGAGATGGCTGGCATGGGGGGACAGGATGGGAAAGGGGGACAGAAAGAAGAAGAACCGGGTCAGGACGCATCTAGATTTTAGTCCGGATTTCCTATTTGGTCTCTTCATCCCTGAATGCTTACGTTGCTTCCAGCTCTAATAAATCTTTCTGGCCCACCATCTTTTACTAGAGGGATGTAAAAACAATTAGGAACTGAAAAATGAGCCTAGGGATAGAAAAATATAAACCGCTGAGTTCTAGGCTCACGAGATTGTAGACTACCCAAGGTCAAGGGCCTTGTTTTCTACATTGTCTCCGCCCAACACCCAGTGTCTAACCCAGCGCTTCTCTCATGGTACATGTGAGTAAAATGACTGCAGGTGATGTCGGGGAAAGCAGGTCACACCAGGGGTCCTTCCCTGAAGCTGTTTCTCAGTCTGCTCCTTAGTTTCTAAGACGGAGGCCCTGCTTGTGGCCATGGCTTGCTCTTTACAGTCTGTGGCTGGGTCAGGATCTGCCTCCCCGCAGAAGAAGCTCCCCGTGCACGCAGAACCATGGGGCTCACTCACACATCCTGCATCTGAGGGGTCCTGGCCTAGGGACCTCCTTCATCCCCTGATAAATGGCCCCATTTGTATTCTTGCAGATCTTAATCTCACTGCTACAGTGAATTGAACTTACCTTCTCACAAGTACTTGTCTGTGGAAAGAAATAACCCCTTTCTAAAAATATATTTCTGCCAATGATTCAGAATTCACTTCCTTTTGCTTCCAATCATGTTATATGAGGATGTCTGAATGCATAGGTCAGCCTTTGGGTTATTGGCTTTTTAAGGGACATCTCACCACAAAGCAAAACTGTGAAGCCGATTTGGGACTCCCGTTTTCATACATTTCGTTAGAGAAAATATTGTAGTCCTTTTAGCCTGTGTTTTTCCTTTAATCCCTTTTGAGTGTGTCTTCAGTGGCACCCAAGCCATCTCATTGGCACCCACCCCCATCTTTCTTTCCTTCCTCCTACCAGTACCCTATTCTTCCTCCTCCTTCTCCTTCCTCTCCTGTTCTTCCCTCAAGTTTCTTCCTGCCTGTCTTCTTTCCTCTCCCTCCACATCAGCAGTTTGTCTTCCTGGCAAACACAAGAGGATTAAAACGTTTGTTGCCTTCTGCCCCTTTGCTGCAGGATGGAGTCAGAATTTGACACTGTGACTGGAACAGGAGAGGCCAGGGAAAGCATTCGACCCTGCAGTTTCTTAGGTCTATAGGCATTTAGCAACTTCAATTTGTTCACCTGGTATTCAAAGCAGTAACAAAACTGACATCTCCATTACTTTCAGTGGGCCTAAGATGGGGAGCGGCTTCAACGCCCTCTTCCCATTTCTTAGCAAAGAAAACTGACAGCATGCACACTTCCTAGTAAGACTGTAAACACTCAGTTATCTTCAGGGGTCCAGAACCTTGACCTCAGTGCACTTGACTGAGTGCTGTACTCCGAGGAGGGTGTCTCTTGAGATGCAGGCACCACAAGGATCTCGGCATGAGAGGCGCTCAGTAAGCCTTGTTGACCAAGTGGCCACTTCGCAGACCCAGATCATTACAAATGGGTGACAAGAGTGAGCTAAGAAGAGCATGTTTTGGTGCTTTGTAGCTTCACTGCCCAGTGCGTGGGTCCCAGAGCAGCAACTTGGAGATCCTTGGATACTGGTTAGAAATGCAGAATCCCAGGCCCCACTCTAGACCTACTGAGTCAGAACCTATGTACTTTTTAGATTCCAGAGGGATGTATATGCAAATTAAAATCTGTAAAGCATTTACTTTATAGTACAAACCTGACAAAATTCATTTTCTCACTTAATGAGGTAGTATTATTGTAACGATCCCCATTTTACACGAAACGCTCTCTTCCTTCCTCCCTTTTTTGCTGTCATATAAGTGTCCCATAAAAACAACATTACAGATAAGAAAAATGCATTCCCACTTTCCAGAGGGTGGCTGTATCATCCAGTAATTCCTCCATGAAGGACCCAGGATCTGCCCTACTCCTACCTTAGGGTCCCAGCACACTGGCTTCCATCTTCTTTAAGGTGATCCTGTCCCTTTGCACAAGCCAGCACTTCTAAAGAGAATAGCATCTATAAATCTGCCTTATCAGGATCTTTAAGACGTGTGCCCGGTGTTACTATGTAGCATGGTATGGTTCTATCTTATTCTCTGCACGGAAACGGGCTCAGTGACCCTTCCTGAGGCTCCCGCCAGGACTGGTGCAGGTGGCTCTTTTGTTTGGTCAGATGCAGTGGGGTTTAATTACTTGTGGCAAATGCACTGTTGCACATTTTGAACAAATCATGGCATCTTAGTAGTAAGGAGGCACCCTTTTGATCCTGCCATACTTGTTCATTGCAGAAAAGGCAAAGTGAATCTGGGATGTTGTTTTGGTGTATTTGATTTCATTGCTGTATACTTAGATTGGCCAACCAACATCATTTCAACAAGTGAGGCAATTTTTATCCTCATAGACTTCCTGAAATAAGTGATCCCCAAACCTTCTTCAACTATGAGATTCTGTTAAATCTGAGAGAAATAAGGAAAAGAGGATGAGAAGACTTTTCTATCCCTCTAATGAATCTTGAGGAATTAAGATATGAACTAGCCTGAATGATTAAGTGTCTGCTGTGGTGGCAGGCTTATGACCAGCACCACTGCCTTGAGATCCCAGTGAACAGGGCCCACCCCAACCCCAGAGGGCGCCGTGCTCTAGAGTGTCTTCTTTGACATTTTCTAAGTCCTCCTCTGGTGCCTAGGAGCAGCCAATGCCAGAAACACTATTAAGGAGAGACACTCAGATACTAAACTGGGTGTGTGTCCTGTTCTAAGCCCCTATTAAGGAGAGACACTCAGATACTAAACTGGGTGTGTGTCCTGTTCTAAGCCCCATTTCTCCTATTCAGGATGCATTTCCAACTTCTACTCTTGGCCATTCTTTACATGGGTTCAACCAGATTCCCTGAGATCCCCAAACTCACACCTGTGGGCTTGTTTGGGGATGCAGTCCACAGGTCCAGGTTCTAGGAGGTTGGCAAAGGATTGCTCCTCCTGACAATGCAAGATTTCTTTCATGTAATTGCATGAGATTGGGCTACCAGGATGCTGCTGATGTTGGATGAATCTGATTTTTTATATAGAGAGGGGCTGTGTGAAAGATATTTTGCCAGGGGACCCACACCTGCTTGGGATGTACTTGGTAACTGATGACAGAGCCTGGGTAGTTAGGACTTGGGGTGGGGGTTGGAGGCAGGGAAGACAACAGGACCTGAAAAGCAAGTGGTCTGAGGAAATGGGCAGGGTGGGTGGAAACTCCCCAAGAGGTTAGATTTAGAGCAAAGTCAGGATGTTAAAGCACCTGCCTCCCTACGCCTTTCTCATCATCCTACACCTCACTTTCCTGCTGTTCCACATCCATGGTGGACTTAGACTTAGTTGATGGAACACCCATTGGATAGGAATATGTTTATAGGGAGGTGTGAGGGAAGCTATAATGTGTTTTTATCCTTCTGAAAACTATTTTCACTCTAATTCCTGGAACACAAAAAAGAATCAGGCAGCAGGCCTACAAGAAATTCAAATGGTTCTACTTCATCCCTGGCCTTTGTGTTGGCTGGGTTTTCACAGGAGTCTGGTGCTTTGACAAAACTGAAAACATCTGGGATTCAAGACAGAGGGTCTGTTCTCTTTGCACTGAACCACAGGAAGAGAGGTAAGGGATAAGACAAAGGAGCCAGATTGTTGTAAGACACATCATGAGGGTTGTAAACAACACACATTTTGCAACCCTACAATATTTTGATCATGAATTCCAAGCTTCACAGGTGCCTAGGAATAAAACCTCCAGAATGTCCCTCAAAATTGGGTATTAAATCCACAAGGCTGTTCTAGTGACCACGGGTCCATCATATGGGGCTACGATGTTTATCTTATGTTGTCTATCATTTATTGAGCGCCTAATACAGAGCAGTTATGAAATGTTTCCATATTCATTTTTTCTCCAGTTCATCTTCTTTAGGACACTTTGAAACCGAATCAACTGCTTTGCATCTATCTGTATTAAACTATTAAATGGTCACTTATTTGTTCTACCTGTCATTAGTTGTTTGTGTTCTGTATCCAAAGAAATTTTTTTTTTTTTTGAGACAGTGAGGTGGGGGGCAGAGGGAGAGGGAGAGAGAATCTCAAGCAGACCCCACGCCCAGCATGGAGTCCAACTAAGGGCTCAATCTCATGACCCTGAGATCATGACCTGAGCCAAAATCAAGAGCCAGATTTTTAATGGACTGAGCCACCCAGGTGCCCCATGAAGGGATTTCTACATAATGAAAAATTAAGATGCTCATGTTAACATACTCTTAAGTTATTCCCACATTTTTTATTGTATTATTGATCATGACAATTCTCTTTAAAACAATGAAGTTTAGTAATGTGCTAGGTATTTCATATGTCTTCTATTAGTTAATCTTCATCATAATCATGTCAGAAAAATAATGAAAATCTGTTCTTTTTCAAATGATCTGAAAAGTTAAAGTGAGTTAGACAAAAACACAATGACCCAAGACTCAAGCAGAGAATTTCTTTCCCCAAATGCCATATTATTTGGTCAACATGGTACCTTATAATCTTTGACTCAATGTTCAAACCTCATTTTTACAGCTTTTTGTCTTCTTTCCTCTACATGCTTATGATGTGAATACAGTTCTGTTTCTGGTTTCACAGCTTCTTGATTATTTCTTTCTCTTTCTTTCTTTCTTTCTTCCAGAAGGCCAGGGCTTTGTGAGTGAGGATGAATACCTGGAAATCTCTGACATCAAACGTGACCAGTCTGGGGAGTATGAATGCAGTGCCCTGAATGATGTCGCCGCACCTGATGTGCGGAAAGTAAAAATCACTGTAAACTGTGAGTTGACCCGTCGTCAGGAACTTTCAGGGGGAAAGAGAATATAGGGACTGAGGGAGCAAGCCGCTCATGGCAACGTCATTTTCTGATCGTCCCAAATTGTTTCCAACAGGAAAATATTGTCTCAGATTGCTTTGCCCCATGACTGTCCCCATTGCCGTTTTGCCCGTGGAGTCTACCTGTGCCCATCAGAGCTGTTAGCTAATGGGGAGAATTGTTAACTTTGAATTGGTTTCAAGGCTTAAGAAGATGCTGGGGTAAATGCAATAACCTTGAGCAGGAAACTCTTTTCCTAAAATAAATGGTTATTTAACTAGGAAGGTGGGGTGGCACAAGAAATCCATTTTCACAGCAGGAGACTAAATGTGCCTTTCATCTGTTTCATGAAATCACTCTGCATTTTCCTCCCACAGACCCTCCCTATATCTCAAAAGCCAAGAACACTGGTGTGTCCGTTGGTCAGAAAGGTATCTTGAGCTGTGAAGCCTCTGCAGTGCCTATGGCTGAATTCCAGTGGTTCAAGGAAGACACCAGGTACCTCGAAAACAAAAATCAGGCATATCTGAAGCAGAGCTGATGGATCGTTCTCCACTTGGAAAGAGAATGATAAAGCAAAGGGGAAAGATGGCAAAACCAAAATGCATTAGTCCCCTTTATAATAGAGTCTCCTTCTAGAGCCAGAAACAAACACAAAAATCAAGGAAGCTGGCCACTGGGAAAATGAACTGACCTCATTTCAGAATCGGAGGTTAGTTGTAGACATGGCAGCCCTTAGTGACTAGAAGCCAGTGAATCTCACCTTTGGAACATGAGCATCCTTTCATTTTTCCTCCTGTGGAGGCTGTGGAACTCATGTTTTGGGTCAGAGGGACTGGTTCAGATTGAGAAAAGGTGTCTGTGGGCAGAGGTTCCTGGTAGAATTCATCTCTGGTATCTTTCAGGTCCCCCCAGCATCTCTGTCTGCTATTTCACTCTATTTGTAGAACCAGACCAGCAATACCTTCTCTTATTGCAGGCTAGCCACCGGCCTGGGCAGCGTGAGGATTGAGAACAAAGGCCGCATATCCACTCTGACTTTCTTCAATGTTTCAGAAAAGGATTATGGGAACTATACTTGTGTGGCCACAAACAAGCTTGGGAACACCAACGCTAGCATCACACTGTATGGTGAGTGCTAGAAGCCTGGGTGCAGTGGGCTCAGCTATGAGGGAGAACTGTGGGACTATAGAAGGAGGAAGACTTAATCTGCTTGGCCTGTGTCCATCCATACTGCTCAATCCACCATCCTTAGAGATGAAGTACTTCTCCTTGTCATTCTCTTAAGCATGTGATATAGTGATGTTTACAAGGTAATCGATATCTCCTGGTCCATTGAAAGGCAAGGTTTGCACCTTACAAAAGGAGTAAACCCAATTCTGAACCGAGCTGAATGGTGGTTGCCATAAAGGACATAGAACCATGGAACAGTTCCAAATGTAGTACCCAACAGTCTGCGGGGATAAGTTAGAAAAAAAAAAAAAAAATTGAGATACGTTCTGTAGGAAGAGTCTATAATTCTGGGGGTTATATTTATAGATTTGAACCAAGTCAACTGCTGCCATCATGATTCTCATGTTGATTGCCATGTCATGTTCTCCTTCATCGGAGTGGATAGAGCAGTAGTCTGTGTTCTCATCAAGACAACTGTTCTGTCCACCGCTGGAGAATCAAACCCTTCTCTGAAGGTCTTTTCCTCCCGTATGGATGGAGAGGTCTCCAGAGCCCTGACTGGCTCCCTTGGAAGCCCTTATCTTTCCCTCACTCAGCCTTCCCACATTGATGTGTCCATCTCCTTGTGCCACATTTCACATCATGGGCCAGAGTCAGCTTGTTGTGATATTTCCTGTGTGTATGTATTTGTTTATTTGCTGAAATTTGGTTAGAGGTGAGTGGGATGGAAAGGTATTCATTTTCCCATGTGTATTTCAGACCCTGAACAAGCTTTCAGCATTGACATTAACTAAACTTTGTCCACCAACCATCTGAAATGTGTGATCTATGTCTTTTGTTTTCTCTCTGCATTGTGTGTGCATTGTGCTGTGTGTGTCTTAGAAATAAGCCCCTCATCAGCAGTGGCAGGTGGGTACAGCATGTTCCTTCCTTCCTCTGCCTGCCTGAATGCCTATGGTTTTGAATTAAAACCTACTTCAAAGATAGGCTTGCCTGCTCCTCCTCCTTGACTTATGTATTCTTAGTAGACTTAGTAGACTTCAGTGGGTTTGGTTTGCATAGTTTAGATAACAAGCATGTAGAATATGATGGCTTTCACGTACACACATCATTATATATTTTGGGGGAAAGGGTTTGCCCCCAAAGCAATACACTTGGACTTGGTGGCCTCTCAAATAGATGAATACTCTGCTGTTTCTGCACGCAACAGCATCAAAAGGAACCCAGCACAGAGATGAAATGGATTATCAAATGATTGTCTCCATGGGGAAGTCACCTTAGTGCGAATGTCTTATTCTTTTAGCTCAAGGCAAAAAAGAGATAATGACTTAATTCTATAAACTTCATTTTAAAAATAGAAGTACTTGGGAGTCATTATTCATAATAACAGTAATAATATCTACCATTTACCAAATATTTACTGGATTCAAGGCATTTTGTTAGTACTGTACATAGCTGGTTATTAACTCTATTTTAAAGATGAGTAAAAGGAGGACCAGTGAGGTTAAGTAACGTGGAAGTACACATACCAATGGGTAGGTGCTGGACTGGGCTCTCATCAGATCATGGATAACGAGAGTGATGGGCACGTGTGCACACTCACACAGTCATGCATGTTAGATGAAGCCGCGGCAGGTGCCTAGCTGTACTTCCACACACAGCTGCCTCACAGCCCTACATCCCTGTGCTTGATCTCAGTCACATACAAAGTGGTAACATCTGAATTTTCCAGACCTGTCATCAGCTCTATAACTGTCAGTTTTCTTAGCTCTGGATCTAGGAGGATCATGGGCCACTTTGCACTGCCCACACCTTGAGCTCTTTGACTGTTATCTCTTGGTTTTTGATAAAACTGAGGGGATAGGGTGGGATGGGTGTGATGCTCTGACTCTCACCCTGCCATTCCCCACTCAGTGGGGTCACAAGGGGTACTGAATATGGCCAAGAAAGGGAACCTAGGACTGAAACCAGATAATCTAGTTTCTTGTGCCTCCCTACCACTAATGAAAGAGGCATGCCACAGCAGGTAACAACAGCAAATGTGTATTAAGACTGGACTAGCCTTATAGGGCTGACCTAACAAGGTATCATTGACTGGGTGGCTTCAACAATGGAAATGCTTTTCCTCAGAATTCTGGAGGCCAGGAGTCCAGCATCAAGCCAGGAAGAGCTGCCATCTATTTTTGATGAGGGCTCTCTTCCTGCCTTGTAGATGACCACTTTGAGCTCACATGGCATTTCTTCTAAGTAGGTGTGGAATATGGAGAGACACAGATAGCAATGGCAGAGGCAGGAGGAGAAAAACAGGGCTCTCTGGCATGGCTTCTTATTGTGACCCTAATACTATGGAATCAGGGCCCTCCTGTTATAACCTCATGTAATCTTAATTACTTCCTTATAGGCTCCATTCCAAATACGCATTGGATATTAGGTCTTCAACACATGAATGCAGGGAGATACAATCTGGTCCACAGGGAAGACACAGCTTCCTATCCCAATCCAGCCAGTCACATGTCAGCCATCTCATCTTGCTGAGCCATACTTTCCTCCTGTGTGCTACTGGGATATCAGTGCCTTCTTTAAAAGCCTGGTGAGAGGACTGGGTAGGTCTTACAGAGAGAGAGAGCCCCACAGGTGCTACGTTTAGATGCCTGACTTCGACAATATGCCAAGTCTACAGGCCTCAGTTTACCCAGCTAAAATGTGAATGATGTTTCCTGGCCTATTGCCTGTCATCGTGTATGGTCCATAAGACAGTGTTTACCACAGAGGTGTGACAAATTGAAACTTGTGTAAATGCAAGGTATTGCAGTCACTTCTGCTGCTTGCCAACACCTGGGACACAGCCCCTCTTGTTTCTGCTTTCCCTGGTATGGCTGCCAAGACTGTTGCTCAACTGAACTGTGCGTTCCTTTCTTCCAGGGTCTCTTGTGCCCTTTACTACAGCATCTCCAATCCCCGTAATCCACCCAGCCTGCTCTACCTGGTTAGTAACCACTCCCCTCTCAGCCTCCCTTCCTGAGGGAAGCCTTCCCAGACCTCTCTGAGTAGGCCAGTCCTCCACTGCAGTCTCCCGCATAATACTTTGGAAGGCCACTCTCACCAAGGTGTACTTGCAAGCATTCATTCAGCAAGTGCATGCCAGGGCTTGCCACAAGTAGTGCACTGTTCTCAATAAAGAGGACACAGGCGTGCACAACAGCTACAGTCCTTGTCCCTATAGCCTCCCCTTGCTACTTGCAATTTTACTTCCATTTCATTTATTTAGTTTGTTTCATTAAAGTCTTCCCTCCCCTTCAGTCTGTATGCTCCATAAACAAAGGGACCATGTCTGGTTTGATCCTTAGAACCTAGGACAGAGTTTCACATATAGTCGTGGGTCAGAAAAATCTTGCTGAATGACTGAACAGGTATAGAGAGATGGGAAAGGTGTGTTGGTGATGTCAGCCGCAGGAATTCAGCTGTCAGGGATGAAATATGGCAGCATGGAGTAGGGTCTATAAACTCAGAGCTTCTTTGAAGCCAGGTTGTGCTGCTCACTGGTTGAATGGCTCTGGGAAAATCAATCTCAGCTTGCCTTTTTCTTTCTTTTTTCTTTTTTTCCTTCCCATCAGTACAGGTATTTTAGAAAAGATGTCCTGTAATTGTCTGATGCTATGCCTGAGTAGAAATAGCTTAACCCAAGACCAGAGTGACATTGTCCAGTTGATCACCCCCTTCTGCTGGTCATAAGTGTTCCTTCTAATCCTCAGTATTCCTGTAATTTCGGTTAACTAGTGTTACCAACCACTTACTATGTGCAGAGGCACTGGACTAAGTGTTCTACATGTTTTGTCTCATTTAATGACTGTAGGAAGCAAGTACTATATTTATCCCAATTTTGCAGAGGATGAAATTGAGATGTTAGGCAGGTTACTCAACTCAGTGGCGTACAAATGCTTGAGCTGAGATTTAAACCTATGTATGCTGGTTCCAGTGTCTGAGCTCTGTTTCCTATTTCAGTCCAACTTATCATACTTGGCAGCCCATCATGGACGTTGGTGGACAGCCTTCCAGGTGGAAATCCATTTCAACAATTAGCCTGCTTGGACCCATTTCCCACACCAACATCTCCCCTGTTCCATCTGAATCTGAACCCATTCTGCAGGAAACACAAGGAGATATCTATATCTCTCTAGCTAGCTATCTATCTATATCTGTATTTTTCCATATCTATCTATCTATTTGAATTAGTGTTTTCATTTTTGTTGGGTAAATACCCAGTAGTGGAATTAATGGATCATATGGTAATTCTATTTTTAATTTTTTGAGGAACCTCCATACTGTTTTCCACAGTGGCTATACCAATTTGCATTTCCACCAACAGTTCATGAGGGTGCTTTAAAACAATTTAAAAAGGAAAAAATAAATCTGAACCCATTCTTTTAAAGGATGACTTTTACATTTACAACCCATAAATTCATACTTCCCAAATACACACCTCCCCCCTGCCCCACATTCCCAGGCACACGTTGGTGTTTGCCCTCAAAGACTGTATACGATTGTTTTTGGAGACCCTTTTGACTCTGCACTGTGACCCCATCACAACACATACTCATAATAGGAGTCTCACACAAACACATCTTTATCTATTTCCTACCTGCATGCAAAGAACAAGGGGAAGTGGGATGAAAGCAGTTTCAAAAGAACACATAAGACAAAACCAGTGAGACAGTGGGCTGGTGAGCGGGTTGAAGCAGGAAGTGATGGGGCAGGTGGTGAGAGTGAGCACAGGTGGGTGGGCGACATGCAGAGACAAATCAGTGGTTGGCACTGACATGAGGTGTTTCTTCCCTGCATGCCAGTTGCCGCCCCTTCAAAAGCCGCACTGACAGGATAGGTCAGGCAGGCAGAGTGCAACTCAAAGTGGCATTTTAGACTGCCTGCATGTTCCTTAGTGCCGGGCAACTGCAGGCCCTGGAAAGGTAGGAGAACATCGAGAGACCAGGAGCATGGAAAATGGTGTTCTGGTCTTGACCCTGGTTCAAACGAACTGACGCTCTGTTCTGTTTCCTGGTTGTCTGTTAAATGTAAGAACAGAACAAGATGGACTCTCAGCTGACTTCCAGCTAAGTGTTCTAAATTTAAGCAACAGTGGAGAAACCGTATTAAAGGCAGGTCTCCATAACCTCGGAAATGGTGGCAGTTAAAATGATTTTTCGATGGAAAAGCAACCCGCTCTAAGTATAAGTAAGTTTTACTGAGGGGAAGCAGCCATTTGCAGGACCACCTGGAGTGCTAGCACCTTGAAGTCCTGCCAGGCCGGCACATAGCAGAGGGAAGGCCAGGCTCAGCCTGCTGGCCCCAGCTATGCCCCCCAGGAAGCCACTCACTCTCTCAGCTTGCCAACCCACTTTGCCTCCACTGGGTCCTGAGCAAGAGGCCCCATCCCCCTGTCCTTAGAGTGCAAAGAGCGAAGATTCTGAACTTGATGACATCCGGCACTGCGGAAAGTACGATGGGCTTAATGAGCCGTATAAACGCCTGGATTACTGGAACTGGCAGGGGAGAGGGACAGAGAGTGCAAACAATGCCAGAAAGGGGGGGGGGGGTGCTGCAGAGAGAAAAACAGATTTCTCACATTTTATCTGTGAAATTATAGCGACACAAATTAGCTACATTAAAAGTTAAGTATCAGGAACAGGGACAACTGATAGGAATCTTGTCATTGCAAATGAAAATGGCAAAATATTCCAGTTAAGGCAACATCTGGGCTCTGGATTTTTTTCCTCAGGCAATGCCTCAGCCCCCCTCAGAGCAGCCAGGACTCAAGCCTACTTCAGCGGTCCCTGCAAGCCATAAGGACAGAATCTATATTTTCTTTTGCTAATGGCCTTTTCTCTAGAATAAATATACATATCAGGCTGCTC